CCCTGAGTACGAGGTTCACAAAGTGTGTGGCCCGCTTCATTCAGGTGGCACTACAACAAATTATGAAACTAAGTTCAGAAAATGCACAAACTAGTAGTACAGAAGTCCCTCACTTAGAAAAATCAGTAAGTGGAGTGACAGGAACTCAATTTTGAAGTCGACAATTTGGGGAGGGGGCAAAAACTTCGAGAACCACTGCCCTAAGTATGGAGAACATCCACCTAAAACATTCTTTTATACTTACGAGTATGAACACAGAGAGAGACAGAAATATCTGCAGCAAGTTGTAGACTCGGACGATGGGGTCCACGTGAAAGGCACTCCTGTTCTTCATGAATCGAGGGCCCAGGCTCGTCACAAAGTACACATAGGAAGCGGCGATGCAGAGCACAGGCCAGGGCGAGCCCATGAGGAACCAGTCGTCACTCCTGTGGTCTGCAACGAGGGGAAGCACGACATTGTACTGTTCGCTACGGTCTGCAACGAGGGGAAGCACGACATTGTACTGTTCGCTACGGTCTGCAACGAGGGGAAGCACGACATTGTACTGTTCGCTACGGTCTGCAACGAGGGGAAGCACGACATTTTACTGTACGCCACGGCCTGAAGCGAGGGGAAGCAAATTTCACTGTTCGCTCCGTGAATGTTACTCACCCGCGAGATCATGAAAACCTTTGCTGTAGGCGCTGTAAATGGCTCTGTAAACAGGCAGCATGTCGTCCGAAGTTTTTACCTGAAACAGGAAACATGTTCTTATAAGTCAGTTCAGGTCTCCTCTTTAGGTCCTACATAAGTTCTTAGTTCGCTACACCAACGTTATGACGGACACTGTCCACTGTCTGAGGCATTACTGACATAATCGACGTTTTGGACGTTGACTCCTCTCCAGTCTTCAATATTGTATATTGAAGACTGGACCCTCCTATTTAGTCGGTACGGCACTAGCGTTGTAATCGGAACTTAGAGGTCGAAACTTTTTTTAAAAAAAAAAAAGCATGAAGATAGACAGCCGCGTGTGGACTGCAGCACAGCCATCTCCTGAAAGTACCTCCGAAACGTCGACAAACTTTTACCAGACATTACGAATCATCTCAGAAGACAGCCATCTTCGTATGTGCAGTGATCAGAACCAAAAATCTAAGGTAAATTTCTTGTGAGCGAGATTATAATATTTCTTTTGTACTGCTTAACAAAATATACATTCTTTTGTAACGTAGGAACATGGTTCATGCAACTCTCACTGTATTAACTAACGTCAAAATAACGTTTCGTAAGAAGAGCACTCAATAATTCTCAATCCAGTTTATGTCCGAGTGACTACCAGAAGTAGACTTATTTAAACCCTAATTAACATAACGTGTTTTAAACATGAATCCGATTTGCAAACGACTTTACATGATAAATGACGTAGTTGTGAGTAATTCGAGGGTCAATCACTCTGCTGCAAGGTAAGTAGAAGAAATGTTACATAAAGATATAAGTGCTGGAGTTCAAAGTTCACTGTCTTGATGCTATTGTAGAGACTAAAAATGGTAATTTCTATTGTATAAAGTATGAACTGAAATTGATGAAAGACTCTCGGGTCAGGATGGCTGAACGGTGAATGAACCACACCTTCCGCCAGAATGGATTTCAATGACCGTTCTCAATCGCGGTCTTCTGGAACGTAACGCCATGTTTGCTAGGACATGAGCTATGGCCTTGAGATGTGCAGTGCATTTCCACCCCGAACAGTGGATGGGGTGAACTCAGAGCTCAGTTACAAGGCAGAAGCGACCGAGTTCACTTCGTGTGGTAAATTCCATTTCAAAAACATTGACCCATTTTTAATAGGCATTTCATATTCATCGCTGTTTCTACTCAGCACGAACAGAATGCAAAGCGTGGGCAGAGGTGTAAAGAAAATAGGGGGACGTAAAGTAATACACAGCCATAGTAGAGAAATGGTGATAAGTGTTTACAGTTTTATGAAGAAAGAAGCGGACAGCGGCAATGTGATTAACGTTAATCAAATACAAAATCGTGTTTCTGAAGCTACTGGTGTGTCCATAAGTACTCTGAAACGCATTCTGAAAGAGTACGAACATAATAAACGAGTGGGAAAAGAATTCAGCACACCTCACAAGAAACGGCCAAGAAGGAAAATTAAAACAGATGTAGATGATTTTGACAAGTGTGTAATTCGAAGAACGATTAACGAATTTCACACTACACAAGGCGAGCGTCCTACTTTAAAATCGGAACAAATTACAGTTAATTTACAAGATGGCAGTGATACCAACAGTTGTAGCAGTAGTGAGGAAAACGAGAGGGAGGAAGAAGATGCAGAAGAAGATGATGGGGAATTAAGTGGAATAGAAGCTTTGTAAAATATCTTCAGCCGCTGTAAGTAATTCAGTCTGCATTGATGTTTTTGTGTTCAGTAGTACAGAGAAAGGTGTTCTCCTCCGTTCCCCACTATCACTAGGAGACAGCGTCAGTACCCTCCCTTACGCGCATATCCACAGCTCATGTCTGAGCGAACGACTAATAGTCTTATAGTTATCGACGATCCTTAATCTTCAGGGCTAAACGTGGAGGCAGTACGTTTTCCGAAGCGCTGGCATCCATCTACAAGTCTAGATGGCGAAACAACCCGGAAGATTGATACTGAAATTACGGATTGTAGTCTCCAGGAGTACCTGGCCACAGCTGCAACCGGTTCTCATGAACATTTTTGCAGCTTAAGTCGGGTGCTGCAAGTATCATCTTCCACTTACACATCTAAATACCACTCAATAACCTATGAAGTTGACCTATTATCGTTAAATAACCACAGTTTGTATTTAACTTGTGATTCATATAATGACGCTGTCAGTACCTCTGTTCGAAAATGTAACAAATTGTTTTTATTTTGAAATACTATAGCATTTTAAAAAATGTCGCAAATTAAGACAATGTACGAAATTTTTAAAAATTCTGAAACTTGAATTTAAATTGTTTAAAACTGTATAAAAATGAAAAGTTATCAAAATTTGAAAGAAAAAAAAATAAGAAAGTTTTAAGAACTCTCCAAATTGTAAAATTTCGATAATTCCTAATTTTTCCTAAATTTTCTGGATTTTGGTTAGGCAAGGTTATGACAGATTCGGACCGGTTTGCAAAGACCTGAACAGGTATGGACTTGACTGGTTAGGTTCGGATTGAGTTGGTTAGGGTTGTGTTGGGTTTTGTCCTATGTTTCGTCAGTTTAGGTTACTTTACGATTATTTTCCTTTGGTACCTTAAAGATTATCCTGGTACCATCATTTCGCCAGTATATGTTAAGTACGATGTCTAACTGTGGCGTCGGCAGAAGTGGATGCTGCTCGTCGGTTTACCAGCGTCGTGACTTGTGGCTTCCCTAGGGCTATCTGCGAAGAAGACAGCAAAGCGCATGATCGGGCTTCTAACCGTGGGTTCGTATGTCTCATGCACGTCTTCCCGTGGGTCACTTATCGTTGGATGTCACAGAAAACATCTCTAAACCAAAAGTCTTCACCAAGACTCGAACCTAGGAGAGTTTTATGGTTTGTGACCCCAGTCCCTTATTTTGCTATCCGAAGGGAACAAATCGTGTCCAGGCGCGATTCTTCTGTTCTGACCCTCATGCACGCAGTCTTTTCCTGGCCTCAACAAACATGCACACAAAGTTTGGTTAAAATCGTTATATCCGTTATTGAGCTATGAGGAGAGAAAAAAATTAAATTAGCGAGATTCGGCTTTTAAATGGTTAAAAACCATCCATCCTGACACATTTTCGCTGACAAAGACGATATTCGGAACAATCTAAGTCAAAACTGAATTTATTCTGACGATGGAAGAATGAAGGACTTCCGAAACGTTGGTTACTTACATTTTAAGTATTTTGCTTGAACACATCTTAGCTACATTCTGGTTGCATGCCGGAAGACGTCCCTCGCTTCTCTTTCCCCTTTTCAAAAGCACATTCCTGTTAACTTCAGGTTGAATGTTATCTGACTTCTTATTCACTAATGCTAACAGATTAATTAAACAAAGGGGCCCACAAACAAACGCCATATTTTGCAAACGTTCAGACTGAACTACTTGCAGGTTCATTTCGCATGCAGCCTTTATACTTGGCGTTACACTAGAAAGTCATCGTATTTGCGTAATGTTTCGAGCGTTTACGTCACTCGCGTGTGTCCAGCGAGTCGATTTACATACAAAACTGTAATTGTAAGTCAGGAACTCGGCGGCATTCTTAATCGGCCGCAAAATATTCATGCATCACGAAAGTTGTTTTCATGCCCATTTGTCCACAAATCGGCAAAGTTTCTTCCAAATTTTCCCTGAAGACCGCAGTTAATAGAAATACGAAAATGCTTTCCTAAATCACTACGCGCTTATAAGCCCAAAATCCCAGGGTTTCTACGACGCTGTACTAACTGGTGGCGTCAGCAAGGTTAGAACCGATAAATATCGTTCTCGATTTGCTGACTGATCGATTCGCAGGCTGCTTAACGGCGATTATCGAACTGAATGCATTTAAAAACATCATGAATTTTGAACACGGAGGAATATAGAAGTCAGGCGGTGGTGGACCACTTCAAGGCATCTGGCTTTGCCCTGGTGTGACTGAGGATACCCATGAAAGCCTTAGGTTAGTGATAACATCCGAGATTCATGTTGCCGTTCTCGGAATACTCTGGGGCGATTCAGCTAGACCAGTGTCCCTTCTACAGACGTCGACATGAACTGAAGGACGTCTAGTAGAAACATAATATCAAGTGCATTGTCCTGGGAAATGGCGTTATTACAAATTGAAGAAATCGTACATCTCACGTAATTCTACGCAGAGTAACAAGTGAACGTCAGTAAATATTGAATACTCGGACATAAGAAAAAAAAGTTGTCAGTGGAACCACGGTTCCGGAGAATTTGACGTAAATACGTCTACACGGAAAGGAAGTTTATATATTGGCTTTATTCTAAATATTTCCTTTATACATGCTTTACGATTGCGTAAAGTTTGATTAAGACATTGCTTATTTAACTTGAATTAGTTACGCTTAAAATGAGTCTGTGGTAGATGAATGTAATGTAAAGTAATGTAATGAAATGTAATGTAATGAAATGTAACGTTTCGTAGGTAACAACAATTCCGAGTAAACACGACGTTCCCTAAGTACACTTGTTACACTTTTTCGTTCCTCTTTTTCGTTCCCCTTTTTCGTTTCCCTTTTTCGTTACACTTTTTTGCCGAATGACCCTTCCTTATAGACGTATTTACGTCAAAAAGTAGAATGCTTGCTAAGAAATCTGTTACAATTCCTATTAGAATGAGAATATGAGATAACTAAGTGTACATACGGAAGTAGTGTTTGTTAATTTAACTATTTCTGAAATTCAATGACACGGTCGTCGTCCCTTGGTTTTTAAACTTTGCGTTTGCAACACCACGGAGTAAGCCAGTGTGGATATCTCGGCGCTTACTTCCTATAGTTCCAGATATATTGAGCTCTTCTGAGCGTTTGGATCCCTGAAATTGTTACAATAACAAGGAAAGGCAGAGCGGGCATGACCTTGCTTCACAGAAGCCTGAGCTGGGGCGTTCTCCGTCATAAGGCCAGAGATAATTAAATCCTCTCTCTGTGCAAATACGTGTGAATTAAATTTCGAATGACGTTTGCTATAGTTTGCAAATTACACAAGGAAGACTTCGCATATGCAACGCGTAACCTGCGCAATAGAGTATTAGAGTTTGTGCGTCATCTCGTTCGTTATAGAAATCTGTAGCTTTCATTACTTTGAGCATCAGTCAGTGTTACTGTACTGTTACAGGACAGAAGCTGTCGTGAGTAGTGACGCAGACTAGAACCCGGATTATTTTGTTCCGGTGAGAAAACAGAACGCACCGCGGCTGCTTCTTGTCTCCAGCCTTTAAAGTTACTAATGTTCGTATCGTTAATTTTAGGGAACGTTCAGTGAGTGGATGTGCTTGCAGCCAAAAGTACGCCGGAGTGCTTAAACCCTTCCGTCACGACACAAGCAACCTCGACTTTTACAACAACAACAAAATTAATAATAAACTGTAATTTTACCTACTGCTGCATTCTCTGAAACTTTGAGTTGTATTATCTCTTCTGAAGGACATTTTTAAATTTAAGTATTTGATAGTAAATTAGATTTTTTACGTAATTTTCAAAATATTTATATGCTAGCTGCTTCTCCGTGCATTTTCCCTTCTTATGGCGTTTGTATCACAGATGACTCTGCTGTTTCTCAATTTGAATTTCAATGTTCATATTAGTTGAAGATTTCTGTCTTCTGGGTTGTTGCGCTGTGTAGTCTGGTAGATGTTTACCAACGTTTCAGAGGTCATACTGCCTCCATCATCAGAGTATAAAGATTTCTGTCTTTTCATATTAGTTACTTAAACTTTCGTTAATTTTCGCTTTCCGGATTTATTAAGGGCAGAGAGTTAATTCTTTTTCCACTGAACACTCTGGTCCTTAAAAATATATTGGGTGTTGCAGATCAACATGGCGGCATTAATAATAGCTGGGAAGAAAGCATACGAAGAATGGGTACTAGGAAAAATGGGTACGTATGCTGGGAACTTCGAAACCAGTAGCAAATGTGTGTGTAAATGTGTGTCATCAAACAGGACCCTCCCCCTGTTGCAGACCACAGAAGTGACGAGTTGTTTCTGATGAGCTCTATATGGAGTCCAGTGGCCGTCATAGGACTCTACTTGTACTTTGTGAAGTGTGTGGGCCCTCGTCACATGAAGAATAGGCCGGCCTACGAACTGAACGGAGTCATGAAGGCTTACAACCTGACACAAATCCTCTGCTCCGTATACATGCTGCTTTACGTAAGTGTTTAAAGGAACGTGACAATCCACGTTCCCCGGCACGGCAAAGGTCAGGATGGTAGGAGCATTATAAGCCCCTGGCCGATTCGCTACTCTCTGATGGGACGCGACTGTCTGTAAAATGGTCGACGGCTGATTAACGTTAGATAACGCGTGTCTTCTCAAATTCTCGTCAGAACGAACGGTTAGGACAATCCTGTCAAGGAGATTACAATGGGCTACATGCTGTATGTATCTAGGATAGCAGAAACATGAAATGATACATAATCCTAACTGTGAAATCTCTGGACAAGCGATTGCTTGAAACAAAAGGCCTTGGAATTTCATTTACAACACTAGACAGCTTCAAGATCCGACAGATTTACCCCCGGTATGCACTGAATCGGTGTTCTGAACTACCGAGAAGACATCAGCGTCGTGGCGAAGGCAATTTCCAAATATGTTATCCAACTTGAAGGAAGTCACCGAACTGACTGGGCTGTTATAGTTTATATACAATTAATGCTTATTAAAACGTCAGTAATATTTGTAATGAATGTTTCTGTTCGCAGAGTCTGAAGGCTGGCTGGGCCTTCAAATACAAATGGCTGTGCGAACCTGTGGATTATTCCTTCACGGCGTCCTCCATTGACGTAAGCAGAATTAATATTTTAAATACCAGGTGATCTGTAAGTGACACATTCTAATGTATCCGAAAATTTACTCAGGTAATATTCGACAGTGAATACCAGTTGGACGTGTGAAAACGCCATCCTCGGATGCTGTGGAAAAAGAGGACTGATTTCAATAGGAACCTGTGGCTGGCTCTCGCGAAAACAAAATCCAAATATTCGGTTCCATAAAAGGCGTAGAATTAAACTACGCAAGAGACGGTCAGTTTCTGAAGTATTCTGCTAAATGAATGTTGTTGCAGGTGAAGAGACAATTATCACAGACGCAAAACCAAAGTTCAGAAATTTTATTCGTATTAGGACATAATACCTTAGTCTAGTAGATACCGGCCGACGTTTCAGAGAGCGTGCTGCGTCCATTTTGAGGGACAGCATTCCTTTAATAAAAGTCTACCTGTTGGTGGGCTACCTATAAATCCACGAGGCATGACACCGTGAGAACCTCAGATCTCATATGATCAAGTATATACGTCTCTCCATTTGCATTTGATTGTCAGCAATCTGACAAGGCGACGCTTTGTGTTGCAGGTCGTAAGATGCGTGTGGACATACATGATGATAAAACTCTTAGATTTGGTGGACACGGTAAGGATTTTTCGCAGTTACAGTCACACCAGCACCCCGCCACACACTTAAGCAGACAATTTCGAATAGAAAAGAAAAAAAGGCAGAAGTTAGTACCTAAAACAAAAGTATATTTTAAAGGATGTTATTATGACTACTGCATTGGTGATACGACCCCAATTTACAAACTGTTTCGCTCTAGTCCAGGACATGACTTCCATAAAATCATCGCATACTTTTTGGCGTTCCTGTAGAATTATTCATTTATGATTCATCAACCCTGTCAGTAGCCTCACTAATAACGAATAATGAATCGGAAAGGACGCGGGGCAGAAGCTGTCGTGGCCTACTTTAATGTAGTATACAGTAATCTGCGTGGAGGCACTGACAGCCGATCCAAGGACGGAGATTTGAAGCCGGTACAGAAAGCAGGAATACCAATCACTCGGCCCGGAAGTCGTGTGCGTTGTTGTACAGTCATTGACGATAATCATCGCAATTCTCCTCGATTAGTTTTGATATTTCTCGTCTGAGAAGTGAGGGCAAGTGTTCACGTGACCCGGTTGCCTGTCATCTTGTCAAACTAAGGTCTCCACTCGCAGGTTTTCTTCGTCTTGAGGAAAAAGGCAGCTCACACATCATTCCTGCATGTCTACCACCACGCGATTGTCTTCTTTGGCGCGTGGTGCTGCACGAAGTACGTCCCGGGTGAGTATCAAGCAGTTCTCCCCTCCCAGAAGCGTCTATCCCTGAATTGAGTTTCTCTACACAAATTTCCTGCTCATATCTTGTGTCCTCTGTTTGGCACGAGCACAGAGGGTCAATCTTATGGTTCGTAACTGTACAAAAAAAAATTGTATAGTTTCGTATAACGCAACCTCCAGTTTTCGAAATTAAAATGGTAATAAAATATTATAAATACAAGCTAATTAGAATCTGCCTACTTTACTGACAGCTCACCGTGTAATTCATTTCAACCAGATTAATACGGCCCAGTAACATAACGGAGTATTACAGCCTGGGAACATTTACGAGGTTTTGGAATCTTAATTCAATCCTGGTTTCTGTAGCAATCATTTGTTTGTTTGTTTGTATCGTGTATCTTCCAATGATAGAATTATTACTAAATAATGAGTAGGAAGGGATGTATATAAGGAAGCGGCGATGACCCTAATTAAAAGGGAATAACCTGGTCT